AGCAGCAGGAACAACTTGGGAATAAGTATCCTGCCCAAGGACACATGTAGCATGTACATGTAGCTGCAGGAGCTGGGGATTGAACCCCTGACCTTCCAGTTAGTAGAAGACCCTACCAACTGAGTCACAGCTGCCCACAGGTTCAAGGTCCTCTCTCACAGAAAGACGAGATAAGCATCATCATCTTTTTATTTATGAAGCTCTCAGAGTTCCTCGAGTCACAACGAGGAAAATCTTCAGACAAGCTACAACACCTCCTCTAAAGGCGGTGAACTTTGACCTTTTGGGCGTTCTAGAAACATGTTTTAAGTTAAGACCTCCTCACATCCGTGTAGATTTATGAACGTGGTGAAGTTAAAGGAAAGGACGGTGGTGTTGCGTGTGCAGATAGAGGGGCTGTAAATATTTTGTCAGAGCAAATTAAGACGGAGACAAGGAAGAGACCACTTCTTCTAACATTTATCTGTGAAAGGAGCGAGTACAAAAACTCAACAAACACCTGCTGGCTACACAAATACGCACACACACACACACACACACACACACACACACACACACACACACACACACACACACACACACACACACACACACACACACACACACACACACACACACACACACACACACACACACAGGTATAGCGGTTGGACCAGTTTTGTGAATGGAGTTCAAGTTCACAGGTAAACATAGTGAGGGGGGCTGTGAGGAGGGCCTGGAGCTAATCGAGCCCTCTCTTGCTGACAGACCGGCTTCATACCAGGGTCAGCAGAGGGACGAGGGGGGTGAGGAAGGGGTGTGGGAGGGATTCCTGCACCCATCACTGCAACACCCGCAGGACAGGCTCCAGACCGAAGGTGCTGAATGATCCGCTCTCTGTTTCTGTGACAGGTTAAGGACGTCTGTCCTCACTCATCCGAGACGGTTTTTAAGGCATTTGCTCGCTGCCTTCAAAATAACACTCAGGAATCAGCACTTAAAGGAACAGTTCAACATTTCCGTTGAACAGTAATGCTGCCCCTCGAGGATCACTTAGCAGATAGGGGGGGAGATGATAATAATGGATCTTTAAGAATCACAGATTAGACCTTCTTATCGACAGAGGTGAGAACAGAAAGTCAAAAACTGAGTAACTATCAGATTCCAAACAACACTCTGGTGTCAAATAGGAAACCACAAAGAACATTCATGAACATATTAAGGAAAGGTCAGAGACACCAGAGGATCCTTGAGGTTTTTATGTTGCAGAATTACATTTTAGATGAATTGAAAAACAAATATAGCAAATACCACAAATGTAAATTTTTCTGACGGTTGCATTGCCCGATGTGAATTAAAATCTTTGTATCAACCTTGAATGAAATTCAGTCCTCGTGTAAAATTAGCTTCTTTGTTTTTGTCATCTTTGGGCTAATGTCTCTCTGAAACGTGGAGGGTAGGGTAACGCCTGATTCACAGTGTGTCACAACCGATTTTCAAAACAAACCTTAAGTGTGTGGTGATTATTGTACTGATCCCTATCGGTCAGATTCTATAATATAAGATATTATAAGATAATCAAACATGTCTGATGATAACATTCCCAGTCGGGCTGCCTCCGACGGAATACATGCTATAGCCAATGAGAGAGCAGACCAGGAAGCATCATAAACAACTCACCTACAGTTCGAGCTGCACATTCTGTAAAGCTTTACAGCCAAGATTCCAACTGATTGTTTTTCTAGTTTTCTGTTTTTCGGTGCCAAACAGAACACGTGGCAGGACAGCCAGCTAACAATGTCGATTCTCCTCCGTATCTGTTAGTCTTGTAGAGTTTTTCTGGGAGATCTTGTGTGTTTGAAATCTGGCCCCGTCGTCTTGTGTGTGTGCTTTTGAGAGGATTAAAATGTTATAATGTGTGTAGCAGGACTTAGACGACTTTCTGCAGCCGCTAAACCTACTAAACAATGACACCGCTAACGATACAGGCAAAAGTTCTCAGTCTGTTTTGAATAATATCTGCAGGGATGTACACTCTGCTTCTCTCTCTCTCTCTCTCTCTCTCTCTCCCCCCTTCTCAGCCGTTGTATCAAACAGTACAGAGACGAGCTAACTGGCTGCTTTGTATCTGAGGGCTGCTGTGTGAACTGTCTGTGAAAACATACAGACTTCTCACCAGATGACCTCGACCCGCTGACAAAGTTGCATAATGCTGAAAACAGGCGAGCGGGGCGCTCTGTGGACAAGAGAGAGACGCCATTCTCCCTGTTTTGACTGACTGTTTTTTTTAAAGATTTATTTTGGGCTTTTCATGCCTTTAATGCAGAGAGAGGACAGTGGATAGAGAGAGTGGGGAATAACATGTGGAAGGGGGCCACGGGTGGAAGTGAACCCGGGCCTACCACTTGAGATGAGAGTCTCAATACATGGGACGCGCGCCCTAACCATTGCGCCACCAGCGCGCCCCGACTGACTGTTTTAAAGTGGAAAAAGTACAGATTATTGTTTTAATGCTTAGACTTGATGTAAGGAAGTCATACTTGTCAAAATGTTTTTGAGTGCTTATTGCAAAAGGAGAAAATAAATATTCCATAAAACACTGTAAGATGATTGGCAGACAGAGACAGGACGTTCTCTTAAACATGTTAAAGTCTTAAACATCATATATCTGCTCCATGACTCCTCTGGTCATACGTATCAGGACATATTCATCTGATCATAAAGTCTGGAGGTCATTAACTGAAGATATGCACTCTACAGGTATCGTCTCTTTCATCCGGAGCGTAAAAGCAGAAGTCGGTTTTACCTTCAACATTAAAGCCATTGTTCAAAAGTAACTCTCACGATAAATATGAAATATTTAGTACTTTACTAAATATTTAATTCAGAGATCAAAGTTTTAGTTTTTATGCGGGGGAAGCTATAGGATAACGCTTCCCTCAGCAGAAGTTGAACTCAGCAGTGAATTAATGTCTGAAGTCAGGGCAGAGTTTCTGTTTTTAAAATCACTTTAGATCGACTCGGAGAACTGAAATAAGAGATGATCGCATTTTCTCCCCAAAACTCGTTTTCAGGACAGACTTCAGGGTCTCGAGGGGATATGACAGGAAATGTCACGGCTGCTTTTTTTTGTAATTATTGTAAAAGTGTTGACTCCACAGATATGAAGCACCAGGCACACACACACACACACACACACACACACACACACACACACACACACACACACACACACACACACACGTTCTAACTGTGTGTGTGTGTGTGTGTGTGTGTGTGTGTGTGTGTGTGTGTGTGTGTGTGTGTCTGTTTTCTCAAGACGTCAGGAGTGGTAGAACATCCTTTAAACAGCAACAATGAGACTAAATTGTTATGTATACAATGTACAGCTACACATTTAACAGGGCTTATGAGTGTGTGTGTGTGTGTGTGTGTGTGTGTGTGTGTGTGTGTGTGTGTGTGTGTGTGTGTGTGTGTGTGTGTGTGTGTGAGCATGAGCAGAGAGGAATGTTAACATCGTCCAGATGTGGGGAGGTGAGAGAGGGAGGCACGCCGCTTATTGGTGACTCACTGGAATTTGACACAGAACGACCATTTCCATTCACAGTTCTGTCGTCTCCTCGCCGTGTGCAGAGCTGCGCTGCAGAGTGACTCACAACTCCACTACAGGCTGCTGCACAACTAGACGCACAACAAGCAGACGCACAAAAAGCAGAAACACAACAAGCAGACACACAACAAGCAGACACACAAAAAGCAGAAACACAACAAGCATACACACAACAAGCAGACGCACAACAAGCAGACGCTCAACAAGCAGACACACAACAAGCAGAGACACAACAAGCATACACACAACAAGCAGACGCACAACAAGCAGACGCACAACAAGCAGACACACAACAAGCAGACGCACAACAAGCAGACACACAAAAAGCAGAAACACAACAAGCAGACACACAACAAGCAGACGCACAACAAGCAGACGCACAACAAGCAGACGCACAACAAGCAGACACAACAAGCAGAGACACAACAAGCAGACACACAACAAGCAGACACACAACAAGCAGACACACAACAAGAGACACAACGAGCAGACGCACAACAAGCAGAGACACAACAAGCAAAGACACAACAAGCAGACACACAAGCAGAGACACAACAAGCAGAGACACAACAAGCAGACACACAACAAGCAGAGACACAACAAGCAGACACACAACAAGCAGAGACACAACAAGCAGAGACACAACAAGGCGCACAACAACAAGACGCACAACAACAAGAAGTACAACAAGCAGAGATACAACAAGCAGACGCACAACAAGCAGAGACACAACAAGCAGACACACAAGCAGACACACAGGCAGAGACACAAGAGACACAGCAAGCAGACACACAACAAGCAGAGACACAACAAGCAGAGACACAACAAGATGCACAACAACAAGATGCACAACAAGCAGACGCACAACAAGCAGACGCACAACAAGCAGACACAAAAAAGCAGACACACAACAAGCAGAGACACAACAAGCAGACACACAACAAGCATACACACAACAAGCAGACACACAACAAGCAGACACAACAAGCGGACGCACAACAAGCAGACAGAACAAGCAGACACACAACAAGCAGACACAAAACAAGCAGACACACAACAAGCAGACACAAAACAAGCAGACACACAACAAGCAGACACAACAAGCAGAGACACAACAAGCAAACACACAACAAGCAGACACACAACAAGCAGACACAACAAGCAGACGCACAACAAGCAGACACAAAACAAGCAGAGACACAACAAGCAGACGCACAACAAGCAGACGCACAACAAGAAGAGACACAACAAGCAGAGACACAACAAGCAGACACACAACAAGCAGACACACAACAAGAAGAGACACAACAAGCAGACACAACAAGCAGACACACAACAAGCAGACACACAACAAGAAGAGACACAACAAGCAGACACAACAAGCAGAGACACAACAAGCAGACACACAACAAGCAGACACACAACAAGAAGAGACACAACAAGCAGAGACACAACAAGCAGAGACACAACAAGAAGACGCACGACAACAAGACGCACGACAACAAGACGCACGACAACAAGAAGTACAACAAGCAGACGCACAACAAGCAGACACAACAAGCAGAGGCACAACAAGCAGAGGCACAACAAGCAGACACACAAGAAGAGACACAACAAGCAGACGCACAACAAGCAGAGACACAACAAGCAGACACACAAGCAGAGACACAACAAGCAGAGACACAACAAGCAGAGACACAACAAGCAGAGACACAACAAGCAGACACACAAGCAGAGACACAACAAGCAGAGACACAACAAGCAGACACACAACAAGCAGAGACACAACAAGCAGACACACAAGCAGAGACACAACAAGAGACACAACAAGCAGACACACAACAAGCAGAGACGCAACAAGCAGACGCACAACAAGCAGACACACAAGAAGCAGAGACACAACAAGCAGACGCGCAACAAGCAGACGCGCAACAAGCAGACACACAAGAAGCAGAGACACAACAAGCAGACGCGCAACAAGCAGAGGCGCAACAAGCAGACGCGCAACAAGCAGACGCACAACAAGCAGAGGCACAACAAGCAGACGCACAACAAGCAGAGGCACAACAAGCAGACACACAACAAGCAGAGACACAACAAGCAGACACACAACAAACAGAGACACAACATCACCTCTGACAGGGCATATAGCCAGTCACAGGTAAGGATTTTTGGAGTGGCACCTTGGTTGGCCAATCAGATGTCTAGGGGGCCCATGCCACCCCTGAGGACATGCCCCTGGGACAACAAAGAAATAGCCCTGAAGCCGTGGTCATGGCTCTGCTCTTACTGCCGAGTACACATCAGCTGCTGTGGACCAGCGGAGACTGACCATACATTCATCTGCTGGAATTTAGCCGTCTCATCTCCCACACTTTAAAAAAAAAAAAAAAAAAGAAACCTGGAAGCCAATTACAAACTAGGCCCAACAACCAGCAACTGGACCTCTTGTGAAGGGTCAACTTCGGCCGGGCAGTTTTTCTTTCAAACCAACATAAACTGGTTTCATTTGTTCAAAGGTAATATCTCCTGTGCACTCTTGTTTAGGCTGCGGTTGGGACAAGCCGTGAATCAGACTGTTTGTGATTTTAGGATTCGCAGCCTAGACGATACAAAGAAGTCCTAGTTTACTAAATGTACTTAAAAGTGATTGTATTTTTAGATTTAACAAATGTCACTTTTAACAGGACTTCTATGCCTTTGTTAGTATGTAAAGCAGAACAAAACTATTTGAAAATCCAACCTTTAAAATAGTTTAAAAGATCCTCTTTGCATCTTATTTTAGTCCTTCCAATCTAAATGTTTTGCCTTTTTGACCTTGATGTTCCCATCATCCATCATATGATTTTGTTTCTATATTCTTTAGACGAACTGACAAGACCCGGGACTCGACCTTTACTCTCGTAAAAAAAAGAGTTTGCATGTGACTTGATGAGGCTTGAGGATTCACGGGGTGTGGTGCAGCAGCGAGGACCTGGATCTGATGATGACTCTTTGGCTTTGTGAAATCGAGGTTCTCCATGTTTAAGTGAGTCAGAGTTCACAGAGTCGTATTTGTGTTTAAAACAAAAGGAACCAACCTCACTTTGTTTTGAGGACGAGATTTATGATTCATGAAGACCAGAAAAGCAAAGCGGCTCTCTTACTACAGAGAGAACTTTATGCAAGAACGTGTTCAAACGGCCACCGCACTGCTGTCCTGCTGCTGCTGACTCACTGCAGTTTGATGTTCTGCTCCAGCCAAACTCCATTTAACTTTGTGTGGGAGGGTTTTGTGGTCCTGCTCTACATCTGTGTCTCAGAGGGAAAATCCCCCCTCTGAGGAATTCATGCTAACTGGATGGTAAAAGTACAATCTCTGTCATGAGATGTGAGCACGCAAAAACCTCGTACAAAGCACAGAATAAAAGAGCTTCTTCAGGAGGCGAGTGGAGCTGGACCTATGGTGGACTTTATGATGAGTTCTGTGTGTTTTTGTATCTGGTGCTTAGAGGCGTGCAATTAAGAAAGGTTCATTTAGATACCTGAATCACAGTTAATCACAGTCATCTTCCAAATCAGTGTCTCCAGAGCGGCTAAACGCCCGGTGTTTACAGTGACCAGTTGAGTTTAAGGACTGGGACTGATTCTGATTCACTAAGGCTGACAGTGTGTGAGCCCTGAGAGGCCAGAAGACCCTGTGATTATAATATTTTTCTTTCTTGAGTTAATGACTTCAGAATAGATCCAGCGTGCTGAAATAAACATTATACATTAATGAATACGTTTCTTCAAACTTTTCAGGCTTAATTTATAGGTTTGATCGACAGGTCTTCAAGCTCATCAAAGCAACATTATGTAATAACTGTTTAAGTGCAATTTGGCAGCCACCAAAGGTTTCTGAGTTTTTGTCGTTAAACACATAGTCCTGATACGATCCCCATCACAGACAACGTATCACAAGCAGAGGAGCGGTGACCTACCTCCTCTTAGTCTCAGCCGTTGTATCAAACAGTACAGAGATGGGCTAACTGGCTGCTTTGTAGCTGAAGGCTGCTGTGTGAACTAGCGCCGTAAAGACGTACACACTTCTCACCAGATGACCTCGACCCGCTGCTAAAGTTACATAGTGCTGAAAACAGTCGAGCTCCGTGGACATGGAAGAGACGCCATTCTCCCTGTTTTGACTATTTTACGGTGGAAAAGTTACAGATTGTTGCTCTGTCACTCTCTTTTTGTTCTTAGCTTCGTCCGACAGCATTCTCTTCCATCTCTTATCCTCAGTATCTAACAGTATAACGACGGGCTAACTGGCTAGTGTTTTAAAGCCGTACACACTTCTCATAAGAGAACCAACGCCCACTGCCAGACTTACATCCTGCGACAGTATAAACAGGCAACCGGGGCCAATCTGTGGACATGGGATAGACATCATTTACCCTGTTGAACGTTTTTGTACGACCAGATTGACTACTAGTATGTTGCTTCAGAGTCAGCAGTTTGGTTTGCCGCTTGTATTTCCCATCAAGGTTTTCCCCCTTCTTGAATGTTTTAAAAACATTTCTTCACAAACTTCTGAGTCTTATCACCAAATCTGCACGCATGTGTTACAGTAAATCTATCACTCTGTCTTTCATTAATCACATCACAACACGTAGAAAGGTGATTTTAGGGCATTCAATATGAAACATTAGCTGTCCTTAATGTTTCACAGAAGAGTTGGATTATCAGAGAGGGCCTTGCCTGTTATGGCTCAGAGTTTCTGGGCTGGCTGTCGGTGAATGTTTCCTCAAACAGCCCTCACAGGTTCAGAGCACAAACTGTTGTTCACCAAGCTAACATCCCAACAGAGCACAACTCTGATTAAAAACACATTTCTGGAACCATGGACTCACCAACTGAAGTAACAGGGAAGACTGTGGTGCTGGAGAAAGACTGTTGGAGTGTTAGTCATGTAAAGGGTTCATCCTCTGGGGAGCTTAAGTGTGGTCACTTAATTCTCTGCAATCTGGTGTTTAGATTTCACATACTTCTGGCCCTAAATGTCCTGATGATGGACAAACATTCGACTTCATCAGGGGGGCAAATGATTATATATTGTACTCAAACATGGGGCAATTTAGTCATGACCAGTGTTGAGATACTCATGAAAAAGACAGTCATCTTAAAAGTTGTGGAACTCTTTTGGACAGACCTCTGTCAGAATTTGTCACTTTACCAATTTATTTTGTATTATGTGTAAAATTCTTAGTTAGTTTTGGCTGCATTGCACGCCTTGTCAGATACAGGGAAACTGCCACTCTGGCGACAGATGGACACAAGCTCCACAGCTCAAACAGAACGCCGATAGTTGGTGCTAACAGGGCCATCAAACTGGGAGACGGTCAGCCTCAAGTAGCTGGACCCAGCAGAAAATTTCATCCAGATATAGTTCATGGAGAAAAAAGAACCAGTGATCAACCCAGCGCTGTGCACCTCAAGATGTGTTATAACATGCAGCAGTATGACTCTTCTTCAACCTCCCCAAAAAGAATCTCCCTCCACTGGCTCCCAGTTACTAATCGAATCAGATTTAAAACTCTGTTGCTCGCTAAAACAGCGACAACATCGTCTCGTCCTTACTTTAACTCTCTGATCCAGGTCTACACTCCCTCCTGCCCACTACGCTCTGCCAATGAAACGTGTCTGATCCAACCTTCACAACAGGGTCCTAAGTCTCTGACTACACTCTTCTCCTCTGCCGCCCCCCGGTGGTGGAATGAACTTCCAAACTCCATTCGATCTGCAGAGTCCCTCTGCACCTTTAAGAAAAAGCTAAAGACCCAGCTCTGTATGAACACCTACGGCCTTCATGATGATGACTTAAAGCTGTTTGTTTGCACTTCCTGATATTGTTTCCTTCTCTGTAGATCCTTGCTTGTGTTGTTCTTACTCTCTTATGTCCGGCTGATAAATGAATTTAATCCTGCAGCCCAAAAGAACCCCATTGATCCAACATTCAAAGCTTCATAGGAAACACAAGGTGAAAATCCGCTCTAGTTTTTGGTCTGAACACGGCTCTGGGTTTTTCCCCGACCTCCCATGGCTTGGAGTCTAACTCATATGTACGTCATATGAATGAGTGAATCTAAATGTATCATGACATGAATGTAGAGTACACTTCCAGACCCTTACATCAGGACTCCATTGAATAACCTTTATATATTGAAACAGTATATTTTGAGTGCATTCGTGCCTCTGAAGACTCACAAAAGAGACTTTTACAAATCAAACAGGACAGAACAGAAATCTATAAAGACACTAAAAACATTGTTAGGATTCTTGTTGTGAAAGCAGCACTTCAGAGGAATGTCTCTGCAGGTCCAGCTGGACGGCTGCAGCGCCAACTATTCACCAATGAAAGATGGAGTAATAATCTCAGCGACCCGAGAGGTTGTGGATGCCAGCGAAGACAGGGGAAGAACCTGTTTTTATGGCCTCAGTCTGCAGATTTATACTTCTCAGTCCGGGGAGCTTTTACTTGCAGACCCACATCTGGAGCTGGTTGTACCACCACCACCTCCCCTCCCCCCTCCGCCTCCCCCCTCCACTCCTACAATTGGAGCGATGAGAGTTGAATTCCCTTGTTGTTAAACAGCAGCAAACAGGACAACACTTCAGCCAGCGAGGGTTTAGCTGGAAAGAGGGAGGGGGAACGAAGGTGTAGGAGAACAGGTCAACGGATCTATTCGACATGCGGGTGACAGTTAACAGTGCCCACACTGCTGCTCAAAACGCAGCACCATGTAAATCCCCAGTGAAAGCCTTTACATCGCATTCATGTAGCTATTTTAAACCAGGTTAATCTACTGGTAGAGGGATTTAATAGGGATATTAATCTGTCAGCATAGGCCCACACATACAGGCATAATTCTGCTGTTTGGAGCCGGTTTATCACCTGCTATTGAACGCTCACAGCCTCAATAGAGTTTAAGATGATGAA